CAAAAAGAATTCTACAGTGATTACTACTTTGATCGGCGCCAGATGTATCACTCGACGCCTTGGATTGTGAACGTTTAGATTTTGACTTTACAAGATTATACTGATGTTTTTTCTGTGTTGACATTTCTGTATACTTTGGTATAGTACCTCTTACATCTACGCGTTTCACTGTTGGTGCACTAAGTGGAGAAGCTGAATGACTGTCATACAGATTACTAGCTAAAGATGCCGAAATTTTTGGATGAGAGGTATAGGGTTCACAAGATGATTTTGCTCTTGAAATTACAGACTCATCAGGTATACGGTTTTCAGATTATTATCTTAGCGTGGTTTAGAAGTAGGTGATATTTATCTTTTACTCCAGTTATCGGTCATAACTGAAAAATGAGTGTGATAAGTGCTTGTTTAATTAACACAGATACATACAAGAATAAATTGTTGTGCATTAACTGTGTTAGTAGCGAAATCAATGGAGGTGAGAAGAGATTTTACGGATTAGATGTTCAGTTATTAGGTATAACAATTTCAGTCAGTCGACTAGTGGATTTTAGCTAATGTATTCAGATGTTAAGAAAGTTATAAAACTGTATTGGGTTTATATATACTATTTAGGAATGTAAGTCTAAGACAAGTATCTGTTAACTGATTAAATGATTGCCTCTGAGAAGCTAACAGCACCAGATATAAGACATAATCTGGTAATACAAGTATAATACCCTACGAATGAGGAGTATCCTAAAATGTTTATACAAAGTAAAAACAGGTTATCGAACTTGGAAACGGTCTTCCGTCTGCAGTCTTTGTTTAACTGTTGACTCGGATAATCGTGAAAAAGTGCAGAGGGCAGCTACCCGAGCCACTCCAGAACTTTGAGATTTATGGAACATAAAGTGGCCTTCTTCTGACGTATGGAAACTAAGAATTGATCATGGATATGATATACCTTCACTTTTTATTTTTCTTAATCAGGGTAACTAAGGGGACTTAGTGGGTGAGTAAGGGAGCCAAGGATGAACAAGATACCCCTGTAACATAAGTCTTCAAACTGAGTCATCAGCTTTCAAAACCTGTTAAGTGTAGAAGTGGTGTCAGCACCTTCAATTTACTTGTTCAACAGAAGACTAGACATTTTTAGAAGATGTCTTAGAAAAACTGCTTTACGTTTTCAAGTGTTTATAGTGAGTTGTAGCTATGTACCGCGAAATAAGCAAGCTGAATTCCTTGCCAGCCGAAAATCAAAAGTAAAGTTGTGGCTGGAGGTTAAGGTATATTTATTAGTAATCTCGTGATATCAAAACAATGTCAAGACCACATAAACCGTTGTTGGCGGGACTACCGAGGCAACGTCCGTGTCACGTGACCGGGAAGATAATGGTTCTTGGAACAGATGAACAAACTTATTTACCTACGCCTGTTACCCTCAAGGGGGCGTAGGTCACCGACCATTTTTCTCCAAACGCCTCTGTCCTGGGCTTCCTTTTCCAGTTCTTTCCAATTTTTGGTCATTATTCTCACATCTTTCTCTATTTTTTGGCGTAATGCGTTCCTTGGCCTTCCTATTTTCCTTTTGCCTTGAGGGTTCCATGTGAGTGGTTGTCTTGTGAGGCAGTTGGGTGCTTTTCGCAGTGTGTGTCCTATACAATTCCACCGCTTCCTCCTGATTTCCCCCTACGAGGGAATCTGACTTGTTCTCTTCCACAGTAGGTTAATGCTTAAACTATCTGGCCAACGAATCCGAAGTATTTTGCGAAGACAACTGCTCATAAATACTTGTATCTTATGGATGATGGCTTTGGTAGTTTTCCAAGTTTCCGCTCCATACAGTAGAACTGTCTCCACATTTGTATTGAAAATCCTGATTTTGGATTTGGTTGAAAGTTTTTTGGGTTTCCAGATATTTTTCAATTGTAGAAATGCAGCTCCTGCTTGACCGATCCGCACCTTTGTATCTGCATCGGATCCACCTTAGTTGTCGATGATGCTGCCAAGATATGAAAAGACTGTGGTGGTATTTTGTTCTCTGAGCTGGTTGTTTTTGGTTGTGTAAAGACGTTAGTTGAACTCTACCGAACACCTGGAACCGTTCCGAAAAAACAAGAATCGAGCTCAACGAAATCAATAGGTTTATTTTAGCTCGTGAAAAAGATATTGGATATTGAATACTAGAAAAGCAAGACAACCTTCAAACTAACTAATCGTTGTCACCTTAGCCAGAGAAGGTCGTGCTAATAGAGTGGAGGTAAATTTAGTCAGGTGTGTAACGCATTTTGAACCTGCGACCAACTACCAGGGTTTTCAATTTTTCTTTGTCTCGTACTTGTGTAATCTATGAATGTTGTCGATTGCTTTCTCTATTAAAAGTAGATGCATGGAGTTTTTCTCTTGTTCTTTCCACTTTCAAAATACTTCACATACTGCTCCTCATACTACCCGATCATTCCTGGTACCTTCAAGCTAAACGCAAACTTATCATAGGCTGAAGTAATATCTGACTTCATTTTTGCCCTTTTTCCGAATGTCGGTAAACTCCACTGTCGTTTGTTAATTAGATGAAATTAATCGGAGCGAAGCAAGGATTATTGATTTATAAACTCCAAGCTTATACTATTAATATTGCTCGCTAAAAGCTTACTTGCAGAGAAGTGTAAATAACAAGAAGGTTTTTATGTCAGAAATATTACTTCATCCAGCTGTAAACATGTCAACTGTAGTGCTGTCAGTAATGTAGAAAGAGAAATTATAAAATAGCTAGGGATACACATCAATTCTATCATAAAATTTATTCCAAAATATATGAAATACGCTTAGTAGATGAGCGGAAAAATGACTTTTAATACTGACTATGATACTTTTGAGTGATGTGACAACATTGAGTCAATCCTCGCTCTTTTTCTACTGCAGTTTTTATCGTGTCACCACTTGATGCTTTGCAGACTTAACCTCACTTGACTGTTTGCATTCAGTTATGGACATTGATAACTATTTTGGTCAAGGCACTCTGTTTTCGTAAGGACATTTCCAACTCGAATTGGAAATGTAAGATCAGTCAGTCAGCTACATTGTAGAACTTCGTACATACGTACATCATTTCAAGTCTCCACACCACATTATTACAGAGATGCATTTTTAAATTCGAGTTCCAATAGTAGTAGATATAGTCAAAGTATTAGCGGTGATGGCGACTAGGGATCGAAGAATTTAACCAAGAAATATTATCCAGTGAAATAAACCTAAAAAGAGAAAGGTGAAGGCAATGAAGTCAGTCAGTCAGTTGCAACGTAGAACTTCGTACGTATGTACATAAGTTCATGTTGCCATACCACATTATTAGCACAGAGATGCAAATGTCAAATCAAATCCCATAGTGATAAAGATAGTAGAGGTATTAATGTTATAATAAAGAAGACTAGGGTTTAAGATATTATTCAAAAAATATAATTCAGTGAGATAAGGTTAGAAGGACAAAGGTAGAGGTGCTGACTAATCCAGAAGATTAGGATTTGAGAGAGCTCAAAGAGTGGATGCAACTGCGCCATTGCAAACGATTTTGAGCCATGTCGTTCAAGGTCTCTAACCATTGATGACTTTCGTCTCGCGGACCCCAACCAGGTAGTCTACATCTACCAACATGACTCAGTCCACTTGTCAGTGACTTCATGGATTTGTGCCATGTTTTGGTCTGGCCGCCCCTAGCTTTCTTCCAACCTACTCCTACACCACAAAACATAGCTCGTCGAGGCAGTCGGTGGTTAGGCATACGTAACACATGTCCCAACCACCTCAACTGATGAAGTTTCACAACTTCACCTATTGATTATCCATCCCTACCTAGAACTCGTTTCCTAACGACAGCATTGCTTACTCGGCTGTCCCACGATATATGAGCAATGCTTCTTAAACATCTATGATCGAATACTAGTAACCTACGAAGGCAATGAAGGAATCAGAAGGTTAGAATTTGAGAGGGGACAAAGACTGGATACATTTGAGCCATTAAAAACGAATATGAGCTATCTCGTTCAAGGTCTCTAACCATCGGTTATGATTGTTTCTCGGACCCCAGCCAGGTACTCTGTACATTTTACATGGCTCAGTCCACATGTCATTATATTCATGGATATGTTCCATGTTTTGGTCTGACCACCGCGCTTCGTTCCGACTTACCCCTACACCACAAAGCAGCTTGTTGAGGCAGTCAGTGGTTGGGCACACGTAATACATGACCCAACCACCTCCACTGATGAAGTTTCAATACTTCATCTATTGGAGGAAATGTAAGGTACTCCTGATCACTTTTTGACCAAACTTTGGCTTATTTACAAGAAGTTTGCTTAGATTTGTCAACTTATGCTTCGTTCTGCGGTAGTACGTACGTGTTTGCACATTGACACGTTATATCGTCGCCTAATCCCCAGAAATAACATTAATATGTCGGACTTGTAGTCTACCTAAGGTTTCTCTGAATAACTGCTTCTGTATGATTAGTGACTATGTTACATGTAGTCTACCCATAAAATATGGTAAATCATTTTACAAGGTCAAGTAAGAGAAAGTTTTGTCCAGGTAAAAATTGGACAAAGACCCCAGATCATTGTTCGTGTTCACTGGCTACCGATCTGTCTTGAGAAGTATGTCGTTCCATAGTCCTCGTTTCATCCCAATTTTTTAGGTCACGTCCCATTCCTCATTAGAGTTATTTTTGTTTCATTCTCAGCTTTATATCTGAATAATCTGTGTCTCAGGGTATAAAATTATCGTCTTCACCACTCCAAAACTGATCTTATCGTTTTTCTCTCACAAAATAATTATGTGTTGGGCTTGTTTATTGTTATCAGTTCTGCTGTACTTTCTATATTATTGTGAGATAGTAAAAAAGGTTATGCTTAAATCATGGTTACCACATCTGTTTATGACCGACGTAAGTTATGGCCGGTTGAAAAACTGAGAATAGTATTCCTTTTGGCTGATCCATGTCACCTTTTCTTCCGTCTACTATTTTTTCAGAGTTAGTAATCATTACCCGGAAATATGCAAAGATTGCCTTTTTCCTATCTCAAAAGTATCTAATTGATCGTATTTGAAATAAAATCACCTGCAATAATAATTTTTGTCGTATTTTTGAATAACGATATTCATCGTAATACAGAAAGATTTTAGTACGCAAATAACAAATAGCGTAGCAAGAATACTACCGTGTAGATAGTACACAACTGGCTACCACAGTTCACTTTGTGTTACAATGTATGATGGTACTTTTGTTTTATTTCATAGATCGTGAACTCTTGTCTGAAGCTTTGTTTACAGTTATCAGCAGAATACACAAATACACCGAATGATCCAAACACCGTCAATTAATCGGTAGTTCTTTTCATTACTTTATTCATTCGTTAGTAATTCATCAATTAAAACATCACTTTCAACGCTCAACGTCTTAAAACAAGTTGTCGAATCAGAAGAATGGTGTGATCTAAAGTAACTCCTTTGGTTCTAACAGGATGGTAGAAGCCTGGTTGATTTAATAATAGGAAAATTATTTAATCTCTGTAAATTCTCTGGTAATAACACTGTGGTTTTAAATACAACTTTGAGGGTTCTAAAGGCTTTTCGTGAGGAAGCACTCAAGTACGTATATTCTTGGTTGATATATCTTCGTTATATAGATTCCAAATGGGAGAAAATGCTGACTTTGAGGAGAATTTGACAGTTTGTTCATATATGCCTAACCTTTCTGTAGAATCGTCTTTTTGCTGTAGGAAATGAAGCCTATGAAACAGTTTCTCGTGACGATATTTTAGAACCGATCGCTAGCACACTAGATGATCTGGCACTTGAGATAAAATCCTGCCTAACAAACTTGAGTGACTTATCTCTAGATTTTATCCACTCCGACGAACTTATAATGACTTCAGGATATTCCAAGGCAGTTTACCACTTTCTTCGTGTATGTCTTGCATTCCTGACATCCCTTTTTAGCACGCAGCGAAGAAAGGAAGAAACTTTAAAGTTATAGTATGTGAATGTTATCCGGACAACTTGGTAATTAATAATAATTAATTAATTAATAATAATAATAATTAATAATAATTTAAAAGGGACACAAACTAGCTGAAGAACTATCAAAGGATAGTGTCGATGTCATTTTAGTCCCCGATAGCCATGTCTTCGGTTTGATGTCTCGAATAAATAAAGTAAGATTTGTGCGCTATACTAATCTCTTAGGTAATTGTTAGCTGCCAGGCCGTGTATCCTGATGGGACGTTAAAAGCTACAGTGGGGACCTATGGTGTTATGCTTGCAGCCAAAAGCTTTTCGATTCCGGTAAGCTGCTTTTTACAATAAAGAGTGGCTACACGAAGATACTTTGGTTATAGCCTAGGTGGCAGGTTCGAGCTCCAACCCGCTTACCTTGGCTCGAACACGCTGCTAGTATCACAAGCCTTCACACAAAGTTACAGTTGTCACACTAAATTTGAATGTACAGTCATGTAATCAGTTGGTTATAGCAATCCACTAAGTTAGAATAAGAATAAAACGATTGTATATAAGTATTTAGTGTGGTTTGTAAAATTAACAGTTTTGAACATCAGCCCTCTTTGTTTACCAAGAGAAAAAAAGAATAATGAGCAACCTCGTTTTGTCATATCTATTAGACTGCAGTCACCATATCGATGCGAATCTGTTTCAAAGCTATTTACTGAATTCCGTCAAAGTTGACCCATATTTCCAAACCTCGTCTTCTATATATAACAGAAGCCACAAGAATATACATCGATAAACCTGTGTGTACGACAAAGGCTTTTTAGTCCTCTCAGTTTACTATGACCTCCGTGGTTACTGCGTTTCTCAGAAATTTCTGTTCTATTCTATCTTAATTTTTAACTGCGACTTACGCATACTAACTATTTCAGTAATTTGATTGACTAATTTTCTCTTACCTGTTTTATGAATTACAATTATTGATTTTACAAATAACATTTGTATTTGTATTCAATCGTTTTATTCTTATTCTAACTTAATGGATTGCTACAGTCAACTGATTATATGATTGTGCCTTTAGATTTAGTTTGACACCTGTTGAGTTTTTGGGTCATCACTGGTTTACAGAAGTGTTATTTAGTTGACCGACCACCATTTATTTACTATGGTGTAAAACATACGTTAGTATAAAGCTGTGGTGTGGAACTTGTATTTTAGTGCTTTAATGAGTAAACCTCGCGTTTATAATTGTTGTATCACTAATCCGCTATGTCTGTAATAATGACATGGGTCAAAATCGTTTGCAACGACTCAGGTGCATCCATTCTTTGTGCTCTCCGGAATTCTAATCTTATGAATTCGTTATCACCTCTATCTTTATCTTTCTAAATTTATCTCACTGAATTATACTTCTCGAATAATTCCTTCGAACCCTAATCTTCTCCAATACCGCTAATACGTTTACTGTCTCTACCACTATGTGATTTGAGCTGGCAACTGCGTTTTTGTGGTACGATAACACGAACTTATGTACATACTTACGAAGTTGTACGTTATGATTGACTGACTGTTAATCATTTTACAAATGTGAACAGCAGTTTCACTTAAATGTTATGATTGTGGTACATATAAGGTTGATAGCTTTCTTCGTACTCATACAGTCACACGTGAATGTTTCGGCTTTGAATGTAATCACCACGGTCTAGTGCATCCTAACTTATTGATATGATGTTTATGAATTGTGATTTTACATTTACTGCTGACTGTTGTAAAACTGAGGCAAATAGGCTGACTGAAACTACATCTTTCATCATAGTGATTCAGTGCATAGTGATAAAAAACTAACGCCCTAGTATTATCAAGAGCGCAGAGATTTCGCTCTCTTTCATTCTCTCGAAAGCCTGTTACCCACAACAGAGCATAGGCCACCGACCAGCGTCCTCCAACCTACTCTGGCCTGTGTCACCCTTTCCATTTCTGTCCAATTTTTGTTCATTCGTCTCATGTAAGTCTAGTCCTCTGGGTGATGTGTCCGTTAATCTTACTCTTCTCCTTTAGCCTTCAAGGTTCAAAGTTGAGGCATACCTCGTGACGCAGTGGGGTGATTTCAATAATGTGTCCCATCTACTCCCAGTGCTTACTCCTAATTCTTCCTCAACTGTAATCTGGTTTGTTCTCTACAACTGTAGATTGTTGCTGACGATGTCTGGCAAACGGGTCCGCAGTACCTTACGTAGACAATTGTTAATAAACATAGGTATCCTGTGGATGATGGGTTTTGTGGTTCTTCAAGTTTCCATTCCATACAGTATAAGTGTCTTGATGTTTGTATTGAAAATTGTGACTTTGGAGTTGTGACTTTTGGACTTCTTCAAAATACGCAGTCAGGAGCCTACCTTCCTAGTTCTTCCCAGCTGCCATTCATTTTTTTTCCTAACTGCTTCCAATTATCGGCGTGATGTGTTATTTATTCTTCCTTTTCTACTGGATCTTAAGGGCTTCAAGAAAGGGTCAGTCAGTCAGTTGCAACGTAGAACTTCGTACGTATGTACATAAGTTCATGTTGCCATACCACATTATTAGCACAGAGACGCAAATGTCAAATCAAATCCCATAGTGATAAAGATGGTAGAGGTATTAATGTTATAATAAAGAAGACTAGGGTTTAAGATATTATTTAAAAAAATATAATTCAGTGAGATAAGGTTAGAAAGACAAAGGGGTAGAGGTGGTGACGAATCCAGAAGATTAGGATTTGAGAGAGCTCAAAGAGTGGATGCACCTGCGCCATTGCAAACGATTTTGAGCCATGTCGTTCAAGGTCTCTAACCATTGATGACTTTCGTCTCGCGGACCCCAACCAGGTAGTCTACATCTACCAACATGACTCAGTCCACTTGTCAGTGACTTCATGGATTTGTGCCATGTTTTGGTCTGGCCGCCCCTAGCTTTCTTCCAACCTACTCCTACACCACAAAACATAGCTCGTCGAGGCAGTCGGTGGTTAGGCATACGTAACACATGTCCCAACCACCTCAACTGATGAAGTTTCACCACTTCATCGATTGATCTGCCATCCTTACCTAGTACTCGTTTCCTAACGACAGCATTGCTTACTCGGCTGTCCCACGATATACGAGCAATGCTTCTTAAACATCTGTGATCGAATACTAGTAACCTACGAACATCTTCTACTCTTAACGGCCATGTTTCACAGCCATATAAGAGAACGGAACGAACTGCTGCGCAGTACACCCGCCCTTTGGTTAGCGAACGGATATCACGCCTACGCCATAAGTGACGCAGGTTGGCAAAAGCCAATCGAGCTTTTTGTATCCGAGCTGAGATTTCGTCAGTCACCAGACCGTCAGCACTGATGAGACTCCCCAGATAAGTGAAGTGATCTACACGCTCGACTATTTCACTCCCTATCACTAGTTCAGGTGCCGAAGCAACCCAGTCTTGAAGCAACATTTTGCATTTCGAGGGGGAAAACCGCATCCCGAACATGCTCGCATTGTTGCTTATGGTAGTCAGAAGACTCTGCATTTTGTCAGCGTCTTCACCGAATAGAACTATGTCATCGGCATATTCTAGATCAGTAAGCGACTTTCCTGGTAGAAGGTCAACCCCTGAAAAATCTGACGAGCTTAATGTTAGCTCTAAGAGGATGTCTACGACAAAGTTAAACAAGAATGGAGAGAGTGGACAGCCCTGACGGACACCACTTGAAGTAGAGAATTCAGATGACAGTTCGCCATATGCTCTCACTCGACCAGTGGTGTTCGAGTAGAGTGCTTGTATAAGGTTAATGTACTTCTTTGGTACACCTTTCAATGACAGACACTGCCACAGAACCTCACGATCCACTGAGTCAAAAGCCGCCTTAAGGTCCAGGAACACGACTATTGTCGGACGTCTAAATGTGTGTCTGTGTTCCAGGACCTGTCGTAGTGTGAAGATGTGGTCTATACAACCACGTCCAGGTCGAAAACCAGCCTGGGTTTCTCGAGTCTGCTCTTCGCGAGCTCTAGTTAGACGTCTAAGTATAATCGAGGCTAACAATTTAGAAACTATATTAGTTAAACTTATTCCCCTGTGATTGTCACAAGAGGACTTCTGTCCTTTCTTGTAGATTGGGACAATTAGCGACTGAGACCAGTCAGATGGGATTACGTCCATTTCCCAGATTCTACCTAGGATCTCGGTCAGTCTAACCGTTAAAACTGGACCACCATCCTTAAACATCTCAGGGGTAAGCCTATCGGGACCTGCCGCTCTACCTCTCCTTAGATTTCCTATAGCTTTCTCAACTTCATGTAAACTGGGAGGACTTAAATCGATTTGCCATTCAGGATGACTGGAGATTGTGGGCAACCGAAGAGTGGCTGAAGGCCAGTTGAACTGATCCCTAAAGTGTTCTGCCCATCGGTCCAGCCTCCTAGATTGAGAATGGATAATAAGACCATCCTTTTCCGAGATAGTCTCACTTACATTCGGGTTCCTAATACCGGTTTCTTTGATAAGGCGGAAAAATTGTCTAGTGTTGCCTATCGTCGCTGCCTTTTCCATCGCTTTTGCTTTCGCCACCCACCACTGTTCACGGTCGTTACGTAGGCTTTTTATAAGTCTGCACCTAACCTGACTACGCTCTTCATCATGTTCAGAGTCAGGTGGAATGCGTTTTCGAGCATCCATCAGTTCGGTGGATGCGACTGAGATCCAGGGCTTCATCCTAGCCTTACGGTTTACCTTGCTAGCAGATATCACGGCTGTTTCCACAGCCTTTTTGATATGATTCCAACCTGCTTCAGGATGGGAATCACTTGCATGGCCGCCTAACTGTTTTTCTAATTCCTCCTGAAATATTTTCTTAGCTTGATTATCATCAAGTAAAGCCCTAAGAGGCTTCCTTACGGTGATGCTACTCGGATCCTGTATGCGCGTTTCCGAGACGCAGCACACATCGATGGCACGAGATTCTAAAGTCCTAGCTAATGATGCCTGTTGCCCTATTTGACACAATGTCCGTACATTGAATGCTCCAACATGTAGTTTGGAACGGGGTTTAAGGAGACCAGGAACGACGTTTCGCAAACTCGCATCGTTTGCATTAGCTGTGCACTGTAATAAATGAATGTGAGAAGAGTTAGTTGTGGAGATAAGAGAGGTATTAGGGAATGTAGGAAGGATTTGATTTTGACCAATTTTGTCTCGTGTGCTGTTGCGGGTATGAGGGCGGTTATCACTTCCCGGCTGCCCACACCATGGAAGGTTGTTTCTTGACGAACCTGAAAAGGAAGATGGATTAGTGTTGGTGCGTGACCGCAGAGTCCAAGGGACAACTGCTTCAGGCCGGTCACGCACGGCCTTTTTATGAGAGGTACTTAGAGGATTAGCGCCGTTCTTAAAGGCCCTCAGTGGGCACCCTTACCCAAGGAGACGGAAATCCATGAGGTAGGGGAGGTGTGACATTTTTAGGGCCGACCTTTTCTAACCCTTCCTTCCTTGTGAGAAGGCAGCATCGCTGCAGATGCTGGTTGTCCGAGGGAAACACCTTACTGCTGTCACACCCCTCTGCAGTCAGCAGTACGACTTCGCCCTCAGACCTTGGGTAGCTGCTTTTAGTCTCATCGTTCTCCAATCGACCTGCCTGGCTTGGTAGGACCTGCAGGAACATGTGTTCCAGCCAGTATAGCTCGGTTGGGTCATCACGATAGGCAAGCCCGACCACCACGTCAAGGTAGCAGCTTCGGTCGGGTTCAAGAAAGGGTTTGCCTATTGAAGTAGTTGGGTGCTTTCGTCAATGTGTATCCTATCCTAATTTCTTCAGCTAGGTTGTTGCCGATGGTGTCTAGACGACGGACACAATGTATTTTGCGTAGACAACTGTTAACAAACACTTGTATCTTGTGGATGATAGCTTTCGTGGTTCTTCAAGTTCCCATTCCATACAATAGAACTGGCTTGACGTTTGTATTGAAAATTGTGACTTTGGAGTTGGTTGATAGTTGTTTTGAGTTCCATATGTTCTTCTGTGCTGATGTGGTATGGCAACATGAACTGATGTACTTACGTACCAAGTTCTACGTTGCATCTGACTGACTGACTGACCATATGTTCTTCGATTGTGGAAATGCTGTCGTTGCTTTGCCAATCTACGCCATCACATCTGTCTCAGATGCACCTTACTCATCAACGATGCTGCTTCGATATGTCAAGGTTTTAACGTCCTCCTCCAAGGCATTTCCATCAAGTGTGATTTGGTTGGCGCATGTTGTGTTGTGACAGAGGATCTTGCTTTTCCCTTTGTGTATGATGAGACCTGCTGCTGCTGAGGCTGCTGCTACACTAGTCGTCTTCTATTGCATCCGTTGTTGTGTGTGCGATGGAAGAGCGAGATCATCTGTGAAGTGGAAATCGTCCAGCTGCATCCCGGATGTCGACTGTATCCCGTGCTTCCCTCCAGATGTTGACGTCTTCATAATCCAGTTAATCACCAGGAGGGAGAGGAACGGTGAAAGTAAGCAACCTTGTCTGACACCGGTCTTCACTTAGGAGAAGTCTATCGGCTTATCCTCCATGCATGATTTTGTAGTTGAGTGCATCATAAGAAATCTGTATGATATTGATTGTCTTCTCAGATACACTGTGGTGTCAAAGAAGAAGCCTCTACAGTGTCATCCTGTCCACACTGACAAGTGTTTTCTCGTAGTCAAGAGAGTTGATGAATAATGGTGAGTTCGATTCAGTTGTCCATCTACTGAATCTTTCATCCGGTTTATCAACATTCTATGGTGGACTTTTCCAGGTATTGAGAGTAGAGTGATGCCTCTGTAGTTGTCACACTTGGAGAGATTTTCCTTTGTGTGGTATCTTGATGAGTTGTCCTTCTTTCCAGTTTGTTGGTACTAGTTCTTCCTCCCGAATCTTGCTGAACTGCGCATGTAGCATTTTTACTGTCACTGTTATGTCTGGTTTCAGTGCCTCATTTGGAATGTTGTCTGATTGTGCGGCTTTATAGCTCTTCATTCGTCTGATGACCATACTGATCTCTTCAATCGTTGGTTGGTTAACATCAGTTGGTTGGTCTATGGTTGCTGTTTCGAGGTTGTGTGTTAAGTGTTGCTGGTCGATTCAAGAGTGTTTCAAAGTTCTCTAACCACCTGTTTCACTGTTCTTCAATGTTGGTAATTGCTTTGCCTTTCTGGCTTTCCACTGATCATTCTGTTTTACGATATTTTCCAGCGAGCTTATTTGTTGTATCGTATAGTTGTCTTATGTTTCCCTTACTTACAGCATTTTCTCCTTTGATTGATAGGTCTTCTATTTATTTCCACCGATCAGATTTAATGCTCAACTTCACTTGTTTGTTTGCTAATATATACTCAGCTTGTGATTTGGCTTTCTCTACTCCTGTTCGCCTGATGTTGATTGGTTGTCTTCTTGTTCCTCCTTTTTCGAATCTTATCCAGAGCACCAACAGAGATCCATTCCTTGTGATGTTAATTCTTGTGGCTCAGAACCTCATGACATGCTGGTGTTGCCTGTTCTCTGAAATTCTAACCTTCTGAATTCCTCATCACCTCTATCTTTCTCTTTCTAAATTTACCTCACTGAATTATACTTCTTGAACAATGTCTTAGAACCCTAATCTTCTCAATTACCAGTAATAACTCTACTATCTCTACCACTATGGGATTTAAACTGACTATTATATCTCTCTGCTAATGTGGTATGGCATCTTGAACTGATGTACTTACGTATGAAGTTCTACGTTGTAACTAACTAACTAATTAACTCCTTTAAATTGATCGTGAAAGGTGTGAAACATGTTGCTGAGGCGTATACCGCATTTGTTGAGTTTGCCGGTATCCTGAAGAAAGGTCATATTGAAATTCTATGATGTTGTTCACCCTGTTGTCCACTACTTCTTGAGTTTCAGTTTCATTTTGGCAACCAGGAAGTGGTGATCTGAGGCTACATCAGCTCCCATCAGGATGGTCAAGTATTTTATTTAGCATTTCTCAACGATTGACTGCAGACTCTCGTAGAATTGATCTTTATCGTCCTCACTGTAGTCGTTGGTAGCTACATAGCACTGAATGACATCCATTGCTTCCCTTCTTTCTATATGTGTGAGATATTTTCTTCTTCATGGTCAGAGTAAAACAGCATCTCTCCTGAAGCTAGTTTTAGTTCTCCAACTTGTGTTCAATGTGTTTCACTGATTCCAAACACCTCCAGGCTGCATCTTCTCATCTCTACAGCTTTTCGGGGGCAGAGTTATAATGGTTTGATTTATTTTTTCTGATTAGTGTTTTTCCAGCGAGTTAGATACCCAAGGGATTGGGTCTCTAACCTCACTCCCAACCCTCCTTCTTTACTCGAGCTTGGAACTGGCAGTATCTTCAGAGTGGCTCCAGTCTGAGCTTCCCTCTTTCGGCTGTGCATATATAGACACTTACAGGAAATTCCTACTCTTCGTCTTCTTCCTGTAGGGGTTTTGTTCATTAAATTCTGAGGACGGAGACCGGATCGCCAGTGGGGGCTTGCACCGTGCTAGTGAATACAGAGGTTTCAGCTAGGGGTTTAAAAAATCCTGCTTTCAAACCAGTGTTGTACAGAAGAACCAGGATCCTGAGGAAGCAAGTGGCTTATGAACCCGTTGTTCGTCATCGACTACCGTGGGACTGCATCTCGTGCCGTAGCTTCACTTTCTTTTGAATTAGACTTTTAGGTCAATGTCTTAAGGTATCGTCCTCTAGGAAAGTCACCTGTTTCGGTTTGGACATTCGGGCAATTTCCCAACCCACTCAAGTTCAGAAATTCATGTGACGCGAAAATTTCTAAGTTTCCTTTTGTTCCAATGTTTATGTGTTTAAATAAAAATATTATCACTGGTTTCATAAGTAAATGAACTTAACTAGAAAGTATGTTCATCCTATCTGGATTTTGGGCTGTAAAGATTAGTATGGGCAAAATACGTCAATATTAATGTACGTCTAATTAAATAAATCAATTATTTTTTTTTTATTCTTCAGATCTACGTTTGTTTACTGCATCACAAACTTTCTCCTATTCCATTCAAGCACGCTTCCCGATCAACACCATCTTTCTCTGTACAACCTACTGCTAATCCTAGTGACACTTCACCAGATTGGTTGGACAGCCCATCAGTTATTCTACCTCCAAACGAGCCCAAACTAATTGACGAAGGATTAGTTTATCATCAGCCTAGTGATGGTCCAGTTGTGTGGGTCCCGAAATGGGAAATTATACCTTCAGGTCTTGTCAATTTATTTTTGACAAATCTTGGCACTCATGCACCATCTTATTTATACGCTCTTGGACGAGAATTGTTTCATTCTGCAGATATTAAGACAATCATGACATGGGATCTATAGTTCATGTAATTCGTGTAAAATATTTTTAAAAGTATTCTTCCGAATAACTAGATATGATTTATTTATCGAATTGCCTCATATAATGATAACATTTACCGATATTCATTCAGTTAAAGGATAGCCTACAAGAAGTTCAATTGTCCATGTGTATAATTCATTACTAAGACAAGGTTTAAGACCATTTTTAATCACTTTGACTTGTGTACTTACACTGTCTTTCAATATGAGTTCAATTTGGACATATCATAGTGACTTCTTTGTAATCACAAGTAGCAGTCGATCAAAAAAGCAGGGCTCATGCTTATAAAGTCCCAGATACTTATTTGCGAATATAGGATACATGTATGCTCCTTGCCTCTGTAGCAGTTGTGGAAATACGAACAGTCATATTATAGTCTCCGAGATATTAGAACCAACTATCACTTAGCGCTAATGAAGTATATCTCTTGATAGAATGTATTATTTCTAGTCGTAGTAGGTTAGATTTCCGAAGCGTTTTGCTATTAGAAATGCGTTCAAATAAAAGTGTTATTTGGAAACCGATAAGTATTATATTTCTCTAAGGTTTTTATTCTATGTGTAAAGTTTTTCTTTTGGCACAAGCAATATACTTCGCAAGCTGATACTTTTACTGGCTATCTAGTACCATGTTTAAGTAAGTTAGTTACAAGTGATATCTCCTTACTAGCTATAAGTCTCATATTAGTCATATAGATTGTCCTGATGAGAATTCAGCCACGATTAACTCGTTTAATTGGTAGAAGTCCATTTACTCCATTTTATAGCCAGTATCTATGTATGTAGTAGCGATATTAACTGGGTATTAACTATTTCAAACTTGCAGATGACTGATTGAGGGTCATTTGGGTTATCCAATTGACTATTACTATGAATTGTTATCAATATTTGCTATAATATATAGTTTTGAGTTGATGAATGTTTATATCATTGTGCTGTGCAACTTCGCTATTTTACAGCATAATCCAACTTTGTACCAGTTAATATATGTCTGTAAAATTTAGAAATTCAGGTGGGGGAATCTAAATTACCAACTGTGTTATGAATCAGATTCACCAAACTACTTAATAATTCATAGGATTATGATTGTAAATTATGTGAATATTGGTTTTGTAAATGTGATGGTATCATGCGATTGAAATATTAAACGATCACATTTACCCGACTGGAGCTGCTACCTAAACGTGGTGGTCGGGCTTGTCTATCGTGATGACCCAACCGAGCTATACCGGCTGGAACATATGTTCCTAAAGGTTCTACCACGCCAGACAGGTCGATTAGAGAACTATGAGACTAAAAGCAGCTACTCAAGGTCTGAGGGCGAAATCGTACTACTGACTGCAGAGGGGTTTGACAGCAGTAAGGTGTTTCCCTCGGACAACCAGCATCTGAAGCGATGCTGCCTTCTCACAAGGAAGGAAGCGTTAGAAAAGGTCGATACGAAAACTGTCTTACCTCACGGATTTCCGTCTCCTTGGGTAAGGGTGCCCACTAAGGGCTTTGAAGAATGCAGCTGATACTCAAAAAATCTTTCATAAAAAGGCCCTGTGTGACCGGCCTGAAGCAGTTGTCTCTTAGACTCTGTGGTTACGCTGCCAGCTCGTTAAGACCAACGCTAATGTACTTACTTTTTCAGGTTCCTCAAGAAACGACCTTCCACGGTGTGGTCAGCCAGGAAGTAACATCCGCCCTCATACACTTAACAGCACACGAGACCGAATTGGTCAAAATCAAATCCTTCCTAAACCCCCTAATACCTCATATCTCCACGGCTAACTCTCCTTACATTCCTTTATCACCCCGCACTTCTTCTACAAAAGATTCGAGTCCTCGAACCGTTATTCTTGGTCTCCTGAACCCCCTTTCTAGACTATATGTTGAAGCATTCAATGTACGGACATTGTGTCAAATAGGGAAACAAGCTTCATTAGCTAGGACTTTAGAATCTCACTCAATCAATGTATGCTGCGTCTCGGAAACGCGCATACAAGATACGAGTAGCGTTATTCACTTGACCTCACCTTTTCAAGATAAAGAAGCAACTCGTTTTAATCTTCGTGTATCTGGATGTCCTGATGCTGCTTCCGTAGGTCTCGCCGTCGTAGGTATAGCATTGAGTTGAAGGGCAGAACTGACTCTCCCAGACTGGATTCCAGTAGATATTCGCTTGTGCGCTGTCCGACTAAACGGAAGTCGTCGCCTCTTCGTCGAATGTACCTATGCCTCCACTGACTGCAATTCAGATGATATGAATGACGAGTTCTACAGAAAGATTTCGGACCCCCTCCAAAACGCTAGGCACTCTGATATAGTAATAATGGCTGGCGGCTTTAATGCTCAAGTAGGTAGACTGAGTGAAAGGGGATGACACCTAGGTGGATGTTATGATGTCACGGCTCAGAGAACAGACAATGACGACCGTCTGTTGCAAATATGCTCAGATAACCACCTATTTCTAACAAAAACTAACTTTAGGCATAAGGAAGAGAGTCTTTTGACCTGGCGACCCCTAAAGTCGTCTCAACGTTGGACCCAACTAGATCACACTGACATCAGCCACCGATGGAAGGGTTAGATAGAAGACTGTCGCTCGTTCTGTGGCACATGTTTAGATTCAGATCATGCCCTTGAGCGAGCGCGTATTAGTTAGCAGCTTACTGGACGTAGGAAGGAAACCGCAAGGATTCTATCTAATGATAGCAGAGCTATGAATATATTTCATGAACAACTAGAAAAACAGTTAGGCAACCATGTAATCGATTCCCATCCAGGGGCAGCTTGAAATGATATCAATAAGGCTGTAGAGACGGCAACGATATCTGCTAGCAAGGTAAACCATAAGGCTAGGATGAAGTCTTGGATTTCAGTCGCACCCGCCGAACTGATGGATGCTCGAAAACGCATCCCACCTGATTCTGAACATGACGAAGAGCGAAGTCAGCTTAGGCGCAGACTGATGAAAAGCTTCGTAACGACCATGAACAATGGTGGGTGGCGAAAGCGAGGGCGATGGAAAAGGCAGAGGCGATGGGCAGTGGTAGACAGTTGTTCCGCCGTATAAAGGAAACCGGTATTAGAAACTATCGCAGAAAAGAATGGTTATATCATTCAACCTCAATCGAGGTGATTTGATCTATGGGCAGAACACTTTAGGGATCAGTTCAACTGGTCTTCAGTTGCCTATGATCTCCAGTCATCCTGAATGGCAAATCGATATTAAGTCCTTCTAGTCTTTATGAAGTTGAGAAAGCGTTAGGAAATCTGAAGCGAGGGCGAGCTGCGGGTCCTGATACACTGACCCCTGAGATATTTAAGGATGGTGGTCCAGTTTTAGCAACTAGGTTGACCGAGATCTTAGGTAGAATCTGGGAACTGGACGTAATCCCATCTGACTGGTTTCAATCCCTGATTACCCCAATTTATAAGAAAGGAAAAAAGTCTTCTTGTAATAATCACAGGGGAATCAGCCTAACTAACATAGTTTCTAAATTGTTAGCCTCGGTTATACTTAGACGCCTAACTAGAGCTCGTGAATATCAGACTAGAGAAAAACAGGCTGGTTTATGATCTGAACGTGGCTGAAGACCACATTCTCATTTTACGACAGGTCCTGGAACACAGACACACATTTAGGCGTCCTACAATAGTTGTCTTCCTGGACTTAAAGGCTGCATTTGACTCAGTGGATCGTGAGGTTATGTGGCAGTGTCTGTCATTAAAAGGTTTACCAAAGAATTACATCAACCTTATACAACCTCTCTACTCGAACACTACAGGTCGAGTAAGAGCTTATGGCGAACTGTCACCGGAATGCTTCACTTCAAGTGGTGTCCGTCAGGGATTTCCACTCTCTCCATTCTTGTTTAATTATATCATAGACATGCTCCCAGATATAGTCTTGTCCTCGTCTGAATTTTCAGGAGTAGACCTTTAACCAGGAGGCTCGCTTGTCGACTTAGAATATGCCGATGACACGGTCCTACTTGGTGAAGACGCTGACAAAATGCAGAGTCTTCTGACCACCCTAAGCAACAATGCAAGCATGTTCGGGTGCGGTTTTCCCCCTCGAAATGCAAAATGTTGCTTCAAGATTGGGTTGCATCGGCACCTGAACTAGTGATAGGGAGTGAAGTAGTCGAGTGTGTAGACCGCTTCACTTATCTGGGGAGTCTCATCAGTGCTGATGGCCTGGTGACTGACGAAATCTCAGCTCGGATACAGAAGGCTCGATTTGCTTTTGCCAACCTGTGTCACCTATGGCGCAGGCGAGATATCCGTTTGCTAACCAAATTACGAGTGTAGTATGCAGCGGTTCGCTACGTCCTACTGTACGGATGCGAAACATGGCCAGTGAGAGTAGAAGATATTCGTAGGTTACTAGTCTTCGATCATCGATGTCTTCGAAGCATTGCTCGTGTATCCTGGGACAACCGATAGTAAGCAATGCTGTTGTTAGGAAACGAGTTCTAGGTAGGGATGGCTAATCAATAGGTGAAGTAGTGAAACTCCATCATTTGAGGTTGTTGGGACATGTGTTACGAATGCCTAACCACCGACTGCCTCGACGAGCTATGTTTTGTGGTGTACGAGTAGGTTGGAAGAAAGTTAGGGGCGGCCAGACCAAAACATGGCAGAATTTCATGAAGTTGCTGACAAGTGTACTGAGTCATGTTGGTAGATGTAGACTACCTGGTTGTGGTGCGCAAGACGAAAGTCATCAATGGTTAGAGACCTTGAATGACATGGCTCAAAATCGTTTTCAATGGCGCAGGTGCATCCATTCGTTGTATTCTCTCAAATCCTAATCTTCTGGATTCGTCAACACCTCTACTTTTGTCTTTCTAAACCTGTCTCACTGAATTATACTTCTTGAATAATATCTTTAAATCCTAATCTTCTCCATTCACAGTGATTCTTCCACTATCTCTACTGCTATGGGATTTGAATTGACATTTGCTTCTCTATGCTAATGTGGTTTGGCAACTTGAACTGATGTATTTACGTACGAAGTTCCACGTTGTAACTGACTGTCTGATCACATTTTTGAGGGGTTAATAACGTCAGCTTACTTAGTGTGAACAAAATAATTCGGATTGTGATGCTTGTTCATAACAAAACACTCGTTTACTGGCTCGTAACTAAATTTTTGGCCTCTGACATGAAACATTTTTTGCAAGAGCATATTATATATTTGCCTCATCAATAGTAAATGAATCGTTGGATGAGTAGTTAGGTTTTCGAATTTTCACAAGGCCATCTCAAATTCAAACTCCATCCAATGCTAGTAAATTAATCAGTGTTGGTTTGTTGTATCAGGTGTTCATTTATAATATAATGAAACCACATAAATTACGACCCTTAGTTTACCGTGATGAAATATTTCCCTAAGCAGTTAAGTAATTACGTGGTTTAAGTATACTGCTGAACAAAGGTAGGAAAGGAACTTTGTTGAAAATAATTAAACACAGTCAAAGCTCAAAATATATAAAAAGTTTTCCGTTTTGTCAAGCGTTATGATAACTGCTACAGATCTGTCCCATATAATGTCAGTGAGTCCAAAGCTCATATATGTACTGCACTGGTGATTTAATCGATATCTAGTCGTTGATAGTGAATGGTCCGGAACTTAGATGTCATTATTAGTCATACTCACCGAAAAAAATGTATTTGTAACCTCATGGAATTTACTACTTCACGATAGTTTCAAATCCATTCCAACGACGAATAACGCAAGTCAAATTTTATCCCGACCAGTTAACAGAAAATAACAACTGACAAAGATCAAAGAAATATCTGACTGCCCTAGTATATATTATAAAACTGTGACAACCTTCGCGTATCGGATTAATATATCGTCAGGCAGTAAAATGTTCGGAAAGATAAATGTCTCAGTAGAACTGCAATATTCCAAAGCAGGAGGATGTCACTAATGGCAATAAAATAATGCAGCATGCTTTTGTTAGGTTAGCATTGAACATTTAAATGTGCATGAAGTAGGACTTTATACAAGATGCTCCTTAACTTACTTATCAATGTCGAGTAAAGTTAGTGTCGAAAACCTTGTTAACACTTGGTACGAAGTCGATGGTCGTTCAAAATTTGATTATGGATCATTAATCTATCCTGTTACAAATGAATCAATAACTCGCCAGTTGCCAACATAGTGTATGGTGAGTTATACAGTGTTTGTCTGTTTTCGGGCTTCTCGCAACTGTTAAAACAACAAAAGTAACCATTTCCTTAAACCAGCAAGCTATAGAGTCAGTCCAGTAATCAGATTAATGTAAACAAAAATAATTATAATGGTGTTTCTTGTTTTCAGAAGCTAATCGTAGGTTTCAGTAAGACCAACAAAGGACTGAGGTATCCTGTCATTGCTGACCATCAAATTGATAAAAGTTGGATTACCTACGTTTGGTTAAAAAGAACAGTAGTTTGTGACTCAGAATATCAGTAAGTATTTTAACTGCGATTGGGCCAAAACAGTTTAAGATTCAGAAAATCGATCTCACGAATTCCTGTCGAGTAATAAGGTTTTACTACAATCACATTGTTAACCTGGACACCGTTCAGTGATAAAGGTAGTAAACACATGGATAGGCAGTTTGCTTCGTGTCACATCAATATGCGTAGAACATGGTTTATAAAAGTAAAAAGTGTGTCCGGTGTATGCTTTTGGCCCTAGTCGACTTAAAAGCACTGCTCATGTATCGTAGAACGATTAGGTAAGCAGTGATGAATTTGTAAGCTTCTATTTACTGAGGTGATTAGGGCTTGTTTCGTATGCTCAGCCAGTTTATTAGTGTATAAACAGGTTGTAAGCAAGCTAATATAACAACAGTTCATGCAATAATTACTCCGTATTGGTCGCGTTGGTAGATACAGACCACCTAGTTTGTATCGGCTTGGTGACCGTCCGTTGGTTGGTATGGTGTATACTATCTGCAAAGTAGCTCATAAACAGTATGCCGTGGTGTCGCTAAGAAATCACTGTCATAAAGAATAAAGTCGGGCCCTGGTGCTTGGCGCGGTCGTGTTTTGAAGACTAGAAAACGCGTGTAAGAGGACAGGCAATCATCTGATTGCTTTGTAAACAGAAGTCCGAAGATAAGGTGTACACATATTGCTAGTAAATTGTCTTCTTAAAATAACTCATTACAATGGAACAGAGACGTTAAGTGTCAGATGGGGTCGTTTGTTATCTTTCTCTAAATCTTGAGTTCCAGAATCTCTTCATCCACGATCATTGCTCAATCTTTCTCACTATCATTTATACTACATTAATGTAACTCCTCTGTTATTCATTCTCATCGTACCACTTTGGTACGGTAACTTGGAACAACGCACATGTGTACCAGCCTCTACGTTGATTATAACTGACTCCTTGAATTATAACAAGCTCGTATATACTATAAGTGATACAAGATAGAGTAAACAAGCATGTATGCTGATTTCGATGGATGTTTTTGTAAGAAAATGATTGTACGGTGAAGTCTTCGTTTGTTCAGAGTACCTTATTCTTTTAATTTTTATTACCGAATAAATAGATTGGTCATACGATTGTAGATGCTCGAGTCTAAGGACTGTGAACACATTTATAAATCAATTAAGTTCGGGTCCCAAGCGTTATCCCAACTCTTTTATAGGGAATAAGTAGACGGGATAGATCAGATGGAAAAGGTGTATTTGCTAGCAATTTCGCTGTATCAAAAAATACCGTAAAGTGCCAGAGACTAAGCGAAGGTACAGAGCAACCAAAACAAGATGGGAACCTGAAATAGGAGGAGAGCGTGATCGTAATGTGATGTCAGTATATATACAAAATCTACAAAGGTCATTCGGTAAAAAATGGTACGAATGAACAAATATTCGGTAAAACGTTCACTGGTATATTTGGTCATAATAATGAGTGTTGCTATTTAACCAATCGTGTTTTTCTTAACAAGATATACTTCGATATTTTTCTTATTTTATACCATTTATAAAATAAAGTGTTTTGTATGGATGTAATATTTCAAAGCTAACCAAAATGGCAGTTTATGTTTCGTCTGTTTGTATTTTACTTAGTGTAGTCTTTCTCGTCAGTCAACTATGTATGTTTGCAGTTAACAAAATAAAATATATAAGACAGTGCCTAATGCTTTTTTATTTTAGGCAGATTCACTGTTGATGCTTGGTAAAAAACAGTCATTTTGTTTTCTTTTCAGCTTATTATGCACGAGAGGTTTTAGTGTAAATTGTGAAGGGTCATTGATCAATTATCTGTTGACGTTTATGGATGTAGAAATTTTTTCACATGGTGATAAGATTCCACTAACTTGTATGAAGAGTGATCACTTAAATTAATAATATTTCACTAAATATGTAATCTTAATGTTAGGTATCATACATATTTTGTAGAGTACCAGATATATTTTCAATTAGAGTTATGGAGATTAGTGTTGTTACACATTTGAAATCATCAATCAATCATTGTTAGACCACCATTAGAAACCTGGAAGCACCTTTTGGGTGAGGTCGCGCAAAATCCCTAAATCAATCAGAGTTAGACACTAACGTCGCTGGATGCCGCCCGGTGGTCCAATGTTTAGGCGTTCGCGCACAATACCGAAGGTCCCGGGTTCGAATCCTGCGAGGCGCAGGAGTCGTGGATGCACACTGCTGATGAGTCCCATGTTAGGACGAAACGGCCGTCCAGTACTCCAGGTTTCTGACGGCGGTCTAACAATCATTGATTGATGATTTCAAATATATGCTCAGAATTAATGATGAATTTGGACTTTTTAAAGTAGGTTGTAACCGCCATCTAATTTTAAAAAATGAAGTTCCTAAAGTGACATATATATAAACTAAGAGCATTAACCTTTGGATAACAACTCGATGATCCAAAAGTAACATGCTAATCATGAAGCTAGAGGGTTTTGTGTTCAATTGGTATACTTTGGAGGAATCCAAAACTACGGTGAAACCATCCTTAAGCACTTATCTAGCTACTCAAGCGGTAACTATTAACTATAGATCAATTAGCCTGTAAAACATCCATAAATAAAGCCTATTATTTGACAAGATGTGAGTTCGAAATTACTCTTTATCATAAAAGTTTAGTATTCGCCCTTAATCTTCAGTATTATCGATTTAGTGTTTTCTCTAAATCAAGCATGATTTCTAGGACTAACGTTTCCATCAATAATTTGCATCTCCTAAAAGTGCACTTTTTGCTAGTATACTTCATTTATCAATAGATTTGTATTAGTTAATGGTTTTACGCTCATATCATGGTACATGTCGCAAACAATTGATTGAGAAAAAGACATCACTTAAAGTGCACAAGTATTAATGATAATTCTGAATTTATATAAGCCTAATATTGAATATATATACAGTAAAATATTGTGAATTCAGTTCCACAGTTTCTTTGTAAAAAAAACAACAACAATTTTCAAATAAAAAAGAATGAATAGACTAAATATGATAATGAGTCGTTCAATTCTCAGTATATTCATTATACTGCTAGTTTCCATTACCCATACAAAATGTATGCCGAGCATAGTAGGTGGTAAAATACTCATCCCAGTATCATTTGGTGCTTATGCTTATATGGATTATCCACTCATTGCAATATGGTCAGGAAGTGTTTATGGACCTTACAGGAAATCATTTTATTATGATAAATATAACAAATGGCATGATTTTTACTATCATTCTGATTATGATTCCCAATCGCTAGTACCTAGTCAATACAGTTCATTATCTTCATCATTACCATACAATCATTATGAAGATAAGTATAATAATGAAGTATTGGGAGATGAACTACGGATAGGAGATTCATATTATTATGATAAGAATGAGAATAATATCATTTCACATGTCGATCAAAAATATGATCAAAGTTATAAAAATGACGATTATCAACCATCTGTTCATGATGATATTCAAAAAACTTCACGAGATCATAGCACAATTGATGAGAACAAATCAAATTATATGCATCATAAATACAAGCACAAAAAATCAGAAGTTGAAAATTCACATTACAAGAATCATTTACACAGAGAATCTATGCACAAGCATAAACCTAATGTATATAAACCAAAGAAGTTTGAATACAATGATCAACACAAAGTATCCAAGTCAGCTGATATGATTGATAAGCATAGGAAATATCATAATGATCAACAAGTTGATTATGATTCAAAAGAATCTAATAATCATCATCATCATCATCATGTTCATGATCATCGAACTCGATCATCGAATAATGACAATGAAGATGAAATTACACAGTTGAAATATTATTATGACCGATTTATTGATGGTTTGAATAGACCAAACTATATTGATAAATATCATAACTATAAAAATCCTAGACATATTCACAAATATCCAAAGAATGATGATATTCATAAAAAGTCAAATGATGTATATGAAACTAGGGAATCAAAACATTTCCATGAAAAACATCCAGAGGAAATGAATGATAAACAATATGAAAAAAAACCAAAACCTAGTGATACAGATAATAATGATATTAGAAGAAGGGATCATCATTATAATGAGGAAATAAATAGAAAAAAGTTGAAACATGAAATACCTAGATCAAAAGGAGAAAATGAAAAATATCAAGAACCAGTTGAAAAAGAAACAGACGAATATGATCAAAGTAGAGTTAGTGTAATTAAAGTAATCAATGAATACACATAAGTATGATAAAAACGAATGAATAGAAGAATATAATGATGATTTAATTCTAAAAACAATAATTCAATGTTATGATAAGATTATTTAGCTAACTTTTTGACAATTTTTTTTTCATGAATTATTGGTTAATCATTACAAAAAAAAATTTTGTTTTAAACAATGAAAGTCAATAAAAAGTATAATAATGTTTGCATCAAAACTTATTTCTCTTGACTTATTTTAATTTGAGATTCAATTCATTACGTGTAATTTTCTAACAAATAACTAGTAGAATTATAAATAAAAGAAAATGAAATAAAATTAAGATTGATTAATAAATATTATTGTTATCAATAATTGAATAATAATACTTTTTAATTTATGCATAGTTCTGGTAACCAAATTGATAATAAGAAATAAATAATATCTATCTAAGGATAACAATAGTTTGATAACATTTACCAATGCAAAATTTTTAAATCATGTGAACTATACAAATTGACACTGTGAATATATTTGATTCTCATGGAAACTATAATGAAAGAATGCCCTCGTAAGTAGTCAAGTTTTTTTAATTATCGCTATCCATAGAGATTTGTTTTCAGAGAACATTTTATAGAGATACCTAACTATCTTATTCACTTTTAGAAATTTAAAATTAAGTAGATTGAGTATTTGTATAATGTGTTAATATTTCTTTTTTCAAATAAGCTAGTTAAAGCTTCATTATGAAACTATAGTTAGGAATAAGAATATAAAGGGTTTTTTGAACAATAAGATTTACGGTGTTGAAAAGGTTGAAATATTCTGTAAAAGACACACAACAATAATCGAAACAAAATCCCAGTGTTAATAAACTTTATGATTCCTCATTATGACATGAATTCGAAGAGTAAATAATTCGACAAATATTAATATTACGATTAGATTGTTACAGTACTTCTTGGAGAAACTGATACAGTTTCGATAACAGACAAATACTAAAGTTATGTTTCAAATAATTAATATAACTGGATTTGGATTTATTTGGATATAATTTTGCAGCATATCGCTTTGATAAGAGATTTTTGGGATTCATGGTAAACGAATGAGTACTCTGTTAGTAATACTATTGTGCAACATTGCTCTTAACTCCACCTGGAGCCCCTCTGGGCTATCGCCTGTTCACGTGCCAACACAAGCCAATCCTGAAGTAATGATCGAATACTAGTAACCTACGAATATCCGGTCCTTTGGTTGGCAAACCAATATCTTTCCTTTGCCATAAATGACGCAAGTTGCTAGAGGTCGGCTGAGACTTCTGTATCCGTTCTGAGGTTTCGTCAGACACATCAGGACTGGTGAAACTCCCAAAATAAGTGAAGCAGTCAACATGTTCAACTACTCCACTCCCTATCACAAGTTCAGGTGCCGACACAAGCCAATCTCGAAGCAACATTTTGCGTTTCGAGGGGGAGAATTGCAGTCCTTTAAGGAAAGTACCATAGGTGTTTACTACACTGTTCAAATGGCCTCGCCGCTGGAAACAGAAATCCGTGGAGTAAGGAAAAGTGCTATTTTTAGTATCCACCTATTTTAGGGCCTTTCTTCCGTTGTGAGTCTGCTCTTCACGAGCTCTAGTTAGACATCTAAGTATAAGCGAGGCTAAGAATTTAGAAACGATGCTAGTTGGGCTGATTCCCCTGTGATTATCACAAGAAGACTTTTGTCCTTTCTTATAGGCTGAGACAATCAGTGATTGAGACCAGTCAGATGAGATTACGTCCAGTTCCCAGATTCTACCTAAGATCTCAGTCAATCTAGCTGCTAAAGCTGGACCACCATTCTTAAAAACCTCAGGGTTAAGCTTGTCAGGACCTTCTGCTCTACCTCGCTTCAAAATTCCTATATCTATCTAAACTTCATCCAGACTCGGAGGACTTAAATCGATTTGCCATGCAGGATGACTGGGGATCGTCGTCAACTGAAGTGTGGCTGAAGACCAGTTCTGCCCATCGATCCAATCACCTCGATTGAGAACAAATGATACAGCCATCCTTTTCTGAGATAGTCTCACTCAAATTCGGTTTCCCAATACCGGTTTCTTTGATAAGGCGGAAAAGTTGTCTAGTGTTGCCTATCGCCGCTACCTTTTCCATCGTTTTTGCCTTCGCCACCCACCACTGTTCATGGTCGTTACGTAGGCTTTTTATCAGTCTACGCCTAAGCTGAGTCGGGTGGGATGAGTTTTCGAGCATCCATCAGTTTGGTGGATGCTACAAAGATCCATGGCTTCATTCTAGCCTTATAGTTTACTTTGCTAGCAGATATCACTGCTGTTTCCACACCCTTTTTGATATCATTTCAAGCTGCCTCCGGATGGGAATCGATTACGTGGTTGCCTAACTGTTTTTCTAGTTGTTCATGATATATATTCATAGCTCTGCTATCATTAGATAGAATCCTTGCGGTTTCCTTCCTACGTCCAGTAAGCTGCCAACTAATACGCGCTCGCTCAAGGGCATGATCTGAATCTAAACATGTGCCACAGAACGAGCGACAGTCCTCTATCGAACACCTCCATCGGTGGCTGATGGCAATGTGATCTAGTTGGGTCCAACGTTGAGACGACTTTTGGGGCCGCAAGGTCAAAAGGTGCTTTTCCTTATGCCTAAAGTTAGTGTTTGTTAGAAATAGGTGGTTATCTGAGCATATTTGCAACAGACGGTCGTCATTGTCCGTTCTCTGAGCCGTGACATCATAACATCCACCAAGGTGTCATTCCTTTTCATTCAGTCTACCTACTTGAGCATTAAAGCCACCAGCCATTATTACTATATCAGAGTGCCTAGCATTTTGGAGGAGGTCCGAAAGCTTTAGTTAGAACTCGTCATTCATATCATCTGAACTGCAGTCAGTGGAGGCATTGGTATATACGACGAAGAGGCAACGACTTCCATTTAGTCGGACAGCGCACAAGCGACTATCTACTGGGATCCAGTCTAGGAGAGTTAGTTCTGCCCTTCAACTCAATGCTATACCTATAATGGCGAGAACTCCGGAAGCAGCATCAGGACATCCAGATACACGAAGAGTAAATCGAGTTGCTTCTTCATCTTGAAATGGTGAGGTCAAGTGAATAACGCTACTCGTATCTTGTATGCGCGTTTCCGAGACGCAGCATACATTGATTGAGTGAGATTCTAAAGTCCTAGCTAATGAAGCTGGTTTCCCTATTTGACACAACGTCCGTACATTGAATGCCCCAACATATAGTCTAGAAAGGGGGTTCAGGAGACCAAGAATAACGGTTCGTGAACTCGCATCGTTTGAGTTAGCGGTGCAGTGTGATAAAGAAATGTGAGTTAAGTTAGTCGAGAAGATGAGAGGGATGTTAGGGAGTGTAGGAAGGTCTTGATTTTGACCGATTTGGTCTCGCGGGTATGAGGGCGACTGTCACTTCCCGGCTGCCCATACCGTGGAAGGTTGCTTCTTGAGGAACCTGAAAAGGAAGGTAGATTGACGTTGGTCTTAACGACCTGGGAGCGTGACCGCAGAGCCCAGGGGACAACTGCTTGAGGCCGGTCACGCACGGCATTGTTATGAAGGGTTTTGTGAGTATTGGCTCCAGTGTTCAAAGCCCTTAGTGAGCAGCCTTACCGACGGAGACGGAAATCCGTGAAGTATGACAGTTTTAGGGTCGACCTTTTCTAACCCTTCCTTCCTTGTGAGAAGGCAGCATTACTGCAGATGCTGGTTGTCCGAGTGAAAGACCTTACTGTTGTCACACCCCTCTGCAGTCAGTAGTACGATTTCGCCCTCAGACCTTCAGTAGCTGCTTTTGTCACATCGTTTTCCAATAGACCTGCCTGGCATGGTAGAACCTTCATGAACATATGTTCCAGCCAGTACAGCTCAGTTGCGTCATCACGACGGGAAAGCCCGACCACCACGTCAAGTCAGCAGCTACGGTCGGGTAGTCTATTATTTCTTTTTTATTTGAAAATAGTCGTTGTTTTTTTTACAAAGAAACTGTGGAACTGAATTCACAATATTTTACTGTATATATATTCAATATTAGGCTCATATAAATTCAGAATTATCATTAATACTTGTGCACTTTAAATGATGCCTTTTTCTCAATCAATTGTTTGTGACATGTTCCATGATATGAGTGTAAAACCATTAACTAATACAAATCTATTGATAAATGAAGTTCACTATCAAAATGTTCATGATTGATAGATGCATCTGGATTTACAACAACTAAATGAACCTTGAAGAAATAATTTTTTCTCGGTTTCAATTTCGTAAAATAAATGAATCGTATATATAAATGTAGTACCTTCTGCCTCATGTGTGGTCACTGAATGATTATCTCCCTGTATCTTATATCAATCGAAGTTATGAATATTAATCTCTGTATCCGGAGATAAGGTATCTCTCCTGAGTGTGACTACGTCGAGGAGTGTTTACTAACATCTGACTGCCTCCAGACTGCGACGAAATTTCTACCTAATTCTCCGTAGTTCTTGACATTTCTTTATTGATAATTTACGACTACAAATCATCTCGAATTCGATAAGTGCCTGTAATTGATCTTTGTTGCTGTGAACCGCAATTATTCGGTTTGTGTTGCTATAAATACATCTCTAGCTGTAAGTCATCAGTTTTTGGTTTATTCAGTCCGTATCCAAGATACACATTATAACCTATTTGGGATTCATCATCAACTAAATTTAAAGAGAATCTACATTGAGTTATTCCGACGAAGATACAAATCCTTCAACGGAGACTGATCGATTGCACTGTTGAACTTTTGCAATGAAAAATTATTAACCATTACTAATACCGTATATCAATGTTCGTTATTTTTTGAGTTATCCCATTGTCGATACTTTAGGCTCTTAATCAGTCTTTATTAGTAAATGTGGATTCCGTTCGGTCTGTCTCGAGAAGGATACTCAATCATAAATTATTTAAAATGGATATATTGTTTTTATCAATACAATATTTCGGTCAGAAGTGAACGGTATTTTATCTGGGTTCCATTGTGAACTTCAATACTAGGATGGTGGTGCATACAGTTGAAGAGTTAAACAGAGGACAGAACATGTCCTTTATTCCACTGTTAACCGCATACTAAATATACTGTGAAAATCTGGAAACTGGTTTGCGTCAAACCACTAATAAGTAGCATATGATATTTAACAAATAAATTCACTAACTAGTTTTGTCCATTTATTAGCTTAACGGACAATAATTTAGACATAATATAAATTCAGCTAAACAATTTTTACAGATTCATCACTTCATAATATGTATTTTATGAAATAGATCCACTAATAATTTAATATTAACTAAATCCGAAACTACCCTCAGGTGCTAACCTAACAAAATCTATCAAATATGATGTCAACTACAAAATATTATTGGTATAGTGAATTTGTAGAGAAAGTAGAATTCTCACAATTATCCACAGCAAACACTGTATGAGGTTGTAAAATATCGTGAATCGACATCCCTGAGAATTGAATCGATGGCCTGGAGGTTAAGTATGCTCAATCGAGATCAAAGGTCTTAGGTCCGATCCCCAGATGCGGGGTCGTTGATCGGCACTACCGAAAAGTCTATTATTAGGTCCAAAACAGTATTCCTGTACTTTCAGGTTTTCATTGGTCATCCTCAGACTTTCGAGTTTGAAATACATACATGCATACATTTTAAGTTAAAAGCCTCACTTTTCTATAAAAAAATCATTTTAGGTTTACTTTTTTCATTGTATATCTGTGTCATCAATGTAATACTGAAAAATCTGTAAAAAAGAATTATTAATTTTAGCTTTTGTATATCATTATTATTATTATTAAATTAGGAACAAATAGTCGTTTATAGCTAGTATGCTTTACCATCTTTGTGTTCGTGCTCATGGTGATCATTGTGATCATGGCGATCATGGTGATCATGATGATCATGGTGATCACGATGATCATGATGATCATGATGATGGTGATGATGATCGTGTTCATGATGATGGTGATGATGATCGTGTTCATGATGATGGTGATGATCATCATCATGATGCTCTCGGTGATGGTCGTGATGCTCCTCATGATCGTACTCATGATGATGATGATGATGATGTTTATCATGATCATCATGCTTATCATGGTCTTTATCAAAACTGTGTTTTTCATGTTCATTAGCATGATCGTATTTGTCATACTTCTTGTAATAATCCTTATAATACTTGCTATATTCTTTAATCGAGCCATATTTCTCATGATCTTTATCGTGGTCTTTTTCATGACCAGAAGATTTATCAGAGTCCTTTGTGTAACCATACTTGTCATTTCCATATTTCTCATAACCGTATTTGTCATAACCGTATTTATCATAGCCATACTTGTCAAAGCCATACTTGTCAAAGCCATTCTTGTCAAAGCCATTCTTGTCAAAGCCATGCTTGTCAAAGCCATTCTTGTCAAAGCCATACTTGTCGAAGCCATACTTGTCAAAGCCATATTTATCATAGCCATATTTGTCGTAAACCTTTTCAGAACCATATTTATCATAGCTGTATTTTTCATAGCCATACTTGCTATAATACTTGCTATAGCCATATTTGTCATATCCGTATTTATCATAGCCATACTTGTCAAAGCCATACTTGTCAAAACCATGCTTATCAAAGCCATACTTGTCAAAGCCATGCTTATCAAAGCCATACTTGTCAAAGCCATGCTTGTCAAAGCCATGCTTGTCAAAGCCATGCTTGTCAAAGCCATGCTTATCAAAGCCGTGCTTGTCAAAGCCATACTTGTCAAAGCCATGCTTGTCAAAGCCATACTTGTCAAAGCCATATTTATCATAGCCATATTTGTCGTAAACCTTTTCAGAACCATATTTATCATAGCTGTATTTTTCATAGCCATACTTGCTATAATACTTGCTATAGCCATATTTGTCATATCCGTATTTATCATATCCATACTTGTCAAAGCCATACTTGTCAAAACCATACTTGTCGAAGCCATACTTGTCAAAGCCATATTTATCATAGCCATATTTGTCGTAAACCTTTTCAGAACCATATTTATCATAGCTGTATTTTTCATAGCCATACTTGCTATAATACTTGCTATAGCCATATTTGTCATATCCGTATTTATCATATCCATACTTGTCAAAGCCATACTTGTCAAAGCCATATTTATCATAGCCATATTTGTCGTAAACCTTCTCAGAACCATATTTGTCGTATACCTTTTCAGAACCATATTTGTCGTAAACCTTCTCAGAACCATATTTGTCGTAAACCTTCTCAGAACCATCTTTGTCGTGAACCTTCTCAGAACCATCTTTGTCGTGAACCTTCTCAGAACCATCTTTGTCGTAAACCTTCTCAGAACCATCTTTGTCGTAAACCTTTTCAGAACCATATTTGTCGTAACCCTTTCCATAACCATACTTGTCATAACCGTATTTGTCATATCCGTATTTATCATAGCCATACTTGTCAAAGCCATACTTGTCAAAACCATGCTTATCAAAGCCATACTTGTCAAAGCCATGCTTATCAAAGCCATACTTGTCAAAGCCATGCTTGTCAAAGCCATACTTGTCAAAGCCATATTTATCATAGCCATATTTGTCGTAAACCTTTTCAGAACCATATTTATCATAGCTATACTTTTCATATCCATATTTGTCGTAGCCGTATTTGTCATATCCATATTTGTCATAACCATATTTGTCATAGCTGTATTTGTCGTAGTATTTACCATAGGTAGACTTGGTGGAATCGGAGCTAGTATGTTCATCGCCATTGGAATACTTGTTATAAACCTCTACAGAAGTTTTAATTCCATCGTGTAGACTAGTAGCTCCGTTAACTCCATTGTATCCATTATAAAGACTGTTCAGTATACAAATTAATAATATACTGAATAATAATGAATTCATTTTTCAATCTTGAACAACAGCAGTTGTTTTTGAATGTTACAGTTATGCGTAAAAAAAAGCATTTGTACTGTAAGTGCTTAAGATTTTATATATACAAGTTATTTATAAAGTACATTCACTAGAATTCAATATTTTGCGTAATATACGAATAATGTCTTACATTTTTGTAAAGTTCACATTTATATTAGAAATGTAAAGTGTAAAGCAGAGTGCATTAAGACTGTCGTCGAAATACTTTTTACTAAAATGGATTATTTCCAACTGTTTGTTTCGCATTTTTCGATTTATATTCAGGACTGTAACTGACAAAGCTCTACTTACAACTGAATACAAATGAAAAGTCCCAAACAGAATTAAATGTACATCTTTAATTCTAATGTTAGCCATTATCCAATTATACATATAAATGAACTTGTATTCAAAATGCAATATTTCTAAATACTATTTTTAACAAGTGAAAATTTATATTCGAAATGTAACTACTATTTATTTAACAAATAGGAAAAATATATCAGGAGAGAAAAAGCTTATATTATGTTGTGGATGGTATCTAGGACAGTGATTTTGTTCAATTTAGTGCTTGTCAATCGTATATATAGTAGCATCTGTGTTGATATCTTCACTGAAACTTTGGCTCTGTACCATCTTCACAAACTCCAGTGTATTACCCGCCAGGTTACTGAGTCATAATAGCCACCAACTTTTTCAAACAGCTAGATATTTATTAACAATTGTATTTTTCCTCTGTCGGTGTCGTACAGTGAACATGTTGATGCATTACTTTAAAAATATGAATTACTCCTTCATAATCAATAATAACAGTACAAAACCTTACATAATAATAAGAAAATCACAGTAGTTGAGAAAGTTTGCGGCTATTTGTGTTGTGATGTATAGGGTTGTACAGTAAAATTGTGAATTGATTGTGACTGTAAAAAGGGAAATTATATAACCAATGAATACATGATCATGTAACTCATTGATTAGATCAATTAATGAGACAAATAACATTGTATAACTAAAAGGCATGATTTTCATCAATCATTGACAGTAAGCGAAAAGCTATTCACGACCGACTATCACTGGATGGTTGTTTTTATTTCGACTGAGACCATCAGCAATATTAAATGCTTCCTTTCCACAGAGAAATTATAATATATCAAAAAATAACTTCCTAGTCATTATTTACTTTCCAATGAATGTTAGTTTACAAAAACAAAAAGAAGGCCTTCAAGTCTAACCAATCCTCGTTAAAGAGAGACTAAGACTGACTTCAGTAATATAAAGCTCAATGCACTATGAGGCCTTAATGTATTTCATTCATTTTCAATTAATAAAGTGAAGACATTATATTCTAAATTACACGAATGATATGGTCATCAACGCTCATAAATTAACTGATATTCACTGATCAAACAAGCTTCTCAAGGACTCTAAACAGGTTTGTCAAAGCAGGACAAATATCAAAACAAGATCAATGGAGAATGAAATCCGATGGACCAGTAATTCCACGATTCTACAGTAGGCTGAAACTCCACAAACCCAACATCCCACTATGCCCTATTGTATCCCTCCCCGGAACCTCAACCTACAACTTATCAAGAGAAATTTCAAGGCTATTAAAACATCTGGTGGATGAATCCAACTACTCCATTAAGTCTGCCACACAATTCTTGGATAAACTCAAAGGGATTCAAATCGACAATGACGAAACAATGATATCCTTCGATGTATCAGCCTTACTCACCTCAATAGAGCCAAGTTTAGCTAAAGAAACTCTTTCCCTACTCCTCATCAACGACAAAAATCTGCACAAATATACAAATCTTCAGAGTCAAAGTCTGCTTGAATTCATAGATCGATGCTGAACAACGTATTTTCAATTCAACAACAGAGTCTACGAACAAACAAAAAGAACACCAATGGGATCACCAAAATCAGGACTCATCGCGGAAGCTGTAATGCAGAGACTAGAAGCGTCGATTTTACCAGTGATCAAGCCAAAAATGTGGGTTCGCTATGTAGACGACACATTCGTTATTATGAAAAGGAACGAGCAAGAGAACATCTACAATCAGATCAAGAACGTCTTTGATGACATCAAATTCACGACGTCACAACAGCCTATCATTCCTAGATGTACTAATCACCAGAACTAACACAGGAAAACTGGAAACTCAAGTATTTCGGAAGCCAACCTACACAGAGGTAATTCTCAACTACGGTAGCAACAACCCAAGAACCCACAAAATCAACTGCATACAAACTTTGTTTAAGAGAGCGAAGACACACTGCAGCACATATGAAGCACTAAAAAACGAGGAAAAACACCTTGTGACTATCTTCCAAAAGAACGGGTATCCACGCAACTTCATCAAAAAATATCAACCGAAATCGTCAGCACAAGCGAAATCAAGTACAGAAACCAATAAACAGATCATCCTACCATACATCAAAGACATATCGGAGCATACAGCACGACTACTGAAACCATTTGGAATAGGTGTGGCACATAAACCAACAGAATCACTTCAATCAATCCTATGTAGACCAAAGGACAAAAGAAGAAAAACCAAATATCATCTACAAAAATAGGACAAAGTACACGTCCTCTTCAGTTTCATTTACGTGAACACCAATTGGCAGTCAAACACCACGACAATTCTTCGCTTATATCAGTACACACCGACAATTATGGACATACATTTGATTGGGACAATATGAAAATACTGGATAGGGGAAGCACAAAGAACACTAGAGAATTTTTAGAAGCTTGGCACTCGGGTCAATCAGCAATGAACAAACACATCGACATTGACACAGTTTATCAGCCAATCAGAAAAACCGTAGGTGCACAGGATCAAGAAACATATCAAAAAAGAGGGATACAATCAAAACAAAGGTGCAAACAACAACGACAAGTTTAAGTTAAACAGCAACCAATCAAGATAGAGGTTAGCAGAACAACCTACGGGTCGAACGTGGAGAAATTTGAATGTTTCACTTTTATCTGAAGTCTATGCTGATGATGTTGTTCAGAGGAACAATGAAAGCTCCACAACCAAAACATCCAGCTCAAAGAACGAAACACCACAACAATCATCCACCTGAGCTACAAATTTTCTCCACCATCTCAAAAACTTAACTATCTCATCCAAGTGCTTTTTCTACCAACGCTGATCGATAATTATGGATGTCGTAGTTACTATGTTCTCACTTCATGAGTACTTCATTTTCAAATGAATTGTTCGAAATTTCATAGTATAGTGGTGATTTTTTCACTTTCTTTGAAATCAAGAATTAATTATAAACTAATATCTCATTTTACGTTGATCAATTTTCCAGTAAGATCAAGATGGAGTAGAATATTTGTCATTTCCAGAAAATAAAAATTGCATTCTAAAGTTTCATTTACTGTTCTAAACAACATCGTTAAAATCGAAAATGCATAAAATTGATATTTTAGAACTCCTTTAAAACTGATTTAGTAATTTGTATTCTTAGAATCTACAACTTCGAATACAGATGATTTCTGATTGAAAATTATACAATATTCAATTCTGCATGAAGTAGGTGATATTACTACACTGTAAAACAACAGTGGAAGTGGGCAATACCATAATTAAAATCACTAGAATGGTTAGATCTTTTCTTTTTTTAATGTACTTTTGCAGAAACGAGAGAAAATCGCGATGAAATTCATGCATTAAATATACTATCCGAGAAAAATATTGTCATAAGAATCGATTGGATAATTGTAGTATTTAGAAGTATATGTATCAAGAATTAAAGATCTGCACAACCGAGTGTATTGTATTTAGAATTCGAAATCAAGCATTTCACAACAACAAGAAGTTACTAGTTCATTCAAACACCACATCCGCCACAGCTTAAATTGGAATGTATATGTCTGTAATCAGTGGTACGTCTTCTTCTCAAATTCATCCTGTGTCTGTCCGACAGTGTATTGGATAAAGGCTCTGTATTATCTAGAATGCTCTCATTAGTATTAGAATTAACAACCGAAATTGGAACAGACTCACCTGGCTCTTGGCATTGTATTTGATCAACATGTCGATTGTGTGTACTTAAGTCATTGATATCTAGAAGTCGCACCATAGATTTCCCGATATTCTTCTGAACGATCCCCGTGGATGGTCGAAGTTCATTGCCACGATAATATGTAACTTCTGCAGACTCCAAACATCTCATATTCGACCGAAGAATTCTTCCTTTTAATAGTTTTGATGGAGTCTCTTTCGTCACCGAATGTCTGGCACTTCTATATTGCAGTAGAAAGGTATCTACTCCTCTCTCCAGCTCATTAAATGTTGAGGCGGCAATAGAATCAATAGCAGTTTTCATACCTCCACTGCACTTAGCACACGTGGCTATCGAATCTTTAAGTAAAGCATCAGAATTTTCTTTAGAAACTAGGAGAGACAACTCCACTTTAAGCCTTTTCAAATTCTTTAAACCCAGTATTGACAGTCCCGTTTCGCTAACTAAGAATTCACATGGTATGTATGAGGAATTATCATCTCTTATTAGCAATTCACAACATCCTCGTATAGGCAGTTTGTGTCCAGTAATCCCCAATATTGATACATCAGTGGGTCGTATCACAACGTTCGGATCTAACGATTTCAGGTTCTTGAATGAAATAATGGACTCTATACTGCCTGTGTCCACAATAAAGTCATGAAATGAACCAAGCGATGTATATAGTCGCTTTTGAATATGAGCATTACCTTTCGAAATGGTAGTCAAAGATAAATGATCATTAGGATCAGCTGAATTATTGGAATCTAAATTACAAGCTTTAGTACTACTTGAGGCAAAATGAACAGTAGCTTTGCATACT